AATTTGACCCATTTGACCTATCAAAAAAGGGGATACATTCTTTAGGTACAGTAAGGACATTCAGAATTCCAAACTGCAGCTCCTAAAAGAAAACGAATTCAAGAAACATGACGCGGAGCACGTGCTGTGAATATGTTCACACATATGATGGTGCCGGTATGTCATGTGTTAGCTGGAAAGATAACAAAACAGTTCATTTCCTGTCTACATATTCAGGAACACTTCCAAGAACAACTTTTTGAAAATTTAATAGAAAACAAAGGAAAGCTGGTTGAGATACAGTGGTTACATATACTACTTAAATAGAATAGCCACATGGATGGCGTCGATCTTGATGTTATATAACAATTCGTTCCAGGAAATGGTATATACGATTATTTAATTACCTCCTCAACTAAATATTGGTGAATGCCTGGTTACTATACAAGCGAATGGCAGAACAGACAGATGAAAGCAAATATATGAGACATACCGAATTTCGAGCGAATATAACCTATTGTTTGTAAAGTATGCGTGGAAAACTGTTAAGAAGAAGCAAGCTACCACATACTGGAAAAGCTTAGAATTATAAAACAGTGTTCCGCTACGACCTCATGTTCCTCCCGAAGACGTAGAGCTTACCGGGACAAGTCAAAAAATTGCGTAATGTAGGGCTAATTAATTGGTGTCAATTTTCACAACAGCGGCATTTATAAACACACTTCAGCTCTTCATTGCGTGAAGGGATGTCATACATGGGCGTACCCAGGGGGGGCAGGGGAGGGCGGCTGCCCCCTGGGAAATCTCGCAGAAAATGTATAGTAAGTGTAAACGGGGCCTTATATGCTCACTTTTGAATAAAATAGTAGAAGTCGAATTAAACAATTAAAATAAAATAAAAATGCATAGTCAAATTTATTTAAGGATGTTTGAGAGATACAATCGGAGACNTCCGACCTATATTTGCACTTTTTTACTCTCACACTTCACATATATTAACCGTTTAATGTACTTCATAAAATTAAGTGTGCGTACTTGTCGTCTACTAAAAATTATACGAGGACTACTTAATATTTATGAACTGTAATTTCCTGGAAATGAAAATGAAATCGGTAAAAGCCTCTAAAATGAGAAACCTTTTAAAACGGTCTTTTAATGGATTGGATTTCTGCAGCAAATCAAACTGATCTTATTATCAACTTTAAGCTTGCTATAACTCATACTCACGTAATAAATAAAACTAAATGATAATTTCCACAAATCATATTAAAACAATTTACAATCGATTACTGAGCTTCATTAGAAATAAAAGTATAACAGTAGTATTGCTTTAAAGGACAATGTTTTTGATCAGTTCAGACTTATTACTCGATGAATTACACAGGTCTGTGAAATTTTTTTTTTGAAGTTTTTTTCCTCAATTGTTAATATTTGTCGTAATTGTTTTAAAAGTAATAGAAAACGATATTCATATGGTGTATACCACGTCACATTAACCCATAAATGCTCAGAGAACACATTTCCATTTGAACCCTTGCCACGTAATGAGTGCGACGAAAAAATATTCGATAACCAGTGTTTCTATGTTTTTAACGATGCTCTTTTCGATGGTGTTGGTTAAAAATACCTCCGACAATATTAAAGC